GCATAGTCCTAGCAAAGCAACAGCTGCTCGATGCTAGCAAGCCGCTTCTTGTTGTGTCTTGCGGCAACAACGGCAGCAGCAGCCATGAAGCCAAGCTTGTTGCTGGCTTTTTCTGCTCCACTGCGTCTGGTTGTGTTGTGTAACGTACAGTGGTAACAAATAATGAATTGTAAGTGCCTGAACTCTGTAGATCCGCTTATTTGGGACCTCTGTTTTCAGGCACCTGGACTCAATCTGACAGCGCCCGCCTTCCTAGCCATGGATGAGCTTACCTCCTAGGTGCCCAGAGAGAGTGAGTACTTTCCTGAGCACTCCACGTAAGAAATAGGTTGTCAGCAGGAGGAGCTAGACCAGCCTACAGCTTAAGAACATTAATTAGTTCCGGTAGCTATCACCACATCATGTGAAGTTGAGGCATGCTCTGAAGGATCCCGAGCCTTGAGGAGGTTTGGGCGTCGCAAAATCAAACAGGAGACCGAACAGGATCAATAGTAAGAGAGATACTAAGAGAAGGACCAAGAGAAGACCAACTGCTGGTATAAGACGCTAGCACCACGATTGGGAAGCGAGAGCCAGGAAAGGTACAGCAAGGGCCAAAAACTACTGGCCTGAGGGATAAACGGACGACAGCTCCAGCGGCGAAAGTAAAACCCGACTAAGCCCAATAGCGTTCTGTACGATGAGCTCCGGCTGAAGTTCTCACAGCCGAAGATTCCGTGTCACATCCATCAACGCAACCAGCTGAGAAAGGTTGAGCAGAAGAAGTAGCATACAGGAAAACAAAGGTAGCATAAAAAGTAGAAACTCTCCAATAGGAAGAGCCACCCGGCATGCAACTGTCTGCAACACCAACCCACACATAAGGATCAGAAGAGCGCCAAAAGCAAACACAAGTATTGAACCCTGTGCCACACTCCAGCCTAGTCTGTTCGAACATACATCGCATGCCAACTTGGAAAATTCAGAATGCCGCGCAATACAGGCAAAACTAGAGCTGTCAACCTGAACATAACACCCCCAAAACGCCTGCAAAGACTGCTCTGCAAAACACGCTGTCCAGGCATCCGAGACCCTACGAAAACCTCCAAAACAACCTGACTCATTGCTCCTACACATCTGTCACATCTGCAGCTCAAAGCAGGCAACCCGCTGCCTGGGTGTCTCGAGGGTCGCTTTGTTGGCAGGCCTCCTTCTTCTTTGCCAGCTCCTGTTGGCCGCTACGGGAAGAGGGTGCGAAGTGTTGAGGTTTGCGGGCTTTTAATAGCTTCAGGGCGATCAGACTTTCACTACAAAGTTCTTCTTAGCGGCTTGGTGGTGTAGCATGATGTAAAGAGGGAGTTTTGAGGTTGGCGCATGTGGGTGAGACCGAAATGGAACCTGGCAATGGCATCAGCATTACAAGATGCAACGAGCATTCGGCGGTCCAAGGATGCAAAAGTTAATGAAAAACTCAGGGAACCTGGCAACAGGGCTGTGTAGGTCAACCCTTCATTTGGTGGATGCCTGAGACTCAGCAGGGAAAATCTGGCCATGCCAATAGCCCCAACACGGCATGTATAACTTGAACATGGGTACGAGGCCAACATCAGGAGCTGCCCAATGTGCAGTCCGGAATTGAATATGTGACAGCTGGCATGTACAAACAGCGCAAGCGTAGTCCTATAATATACAAACCAACGCTAGCACGGTAAGCGGCGTAGTAGTCACGCACATTCGATTAAGCAACAGTGTCCGCAGCTGGCTCGAAAAGAAGGATTTTTGCACAGCTGAGAATGACCTGTGACAAGGGACTTAGTACTTTCAGAAAGCTCCCTGTCCCCCGTCCCACCATTCCAAGCCTTGCCAATGAAAACAAAACGCTGCATGAATCTTCTCAAAGTGAACGGTAGCCAACTTCTTCGGCGGAAAGCGGTGCCCTGCTACACCAAGCCCAATGCCAATCTCACAATGAACACAAACGGATGAGAAGCGGGAGAAGGCAAATGGACATGGGAAGGGCCGTCGCCATGTCAATAATAGCGTAGCATCAATGACAGCGATGACCGCACTGATTGTAATACTCTGCCTCCAACTTCGCGTGGCTCTTTTGAATGGCTTGGGCTTTTTGCTTGCGCCGGTCCTGCCATCAGCAGATCAGAAACTCTGAGCGCGGCAAGCTTGGGATTCATAAGGCTTGAGTACATAGTGTAGGAATATAAATATATGTAAGTTATGTGGGGAGAAGGGAAAAGAAGGTGGAAACTACCATGTAGGGCTTGCGCGTTAGGGCTTAGGCGTAAGGATGGAAGGTTCAGCTAAGAAAGACAAAAAGCTCGAAAAACAGTCCCTTGTTGGGGGATGTTCATTTTTGTTTCAAGGATGGTGAGCCCCAAACACTGGATCTCCCAACACTCTTGGCCCTCACTCAGACAGCCTGAGTCTATGATTTCATAGACCAGGGTGCAGATTCTGCAGCGAGATGAAAAGCATGAGGGCTCAGTTTGAGGCCTTCCTGCGAGATCATTTTCATGGTTGTGTTCCACTCTATAAATCCTTACCCTTGCGCCCCATGCCTAAGCTTTCAGCAGGACCATGTAACCTGAAAAGCCTCATTCATGTCAAATCCAGAGCTAAAGCATGCTTCGCAGCACTACCCTCACAGGCACTTCCGCTGAATTCACTTGCCACTGACAAACCATGACCAATCTTTCCGAAGGCTCTCTCTTAAGTCTCGATGCCTCAGATGAGCGATCATGTGAGATGGTCCAGCTGTTGAACTATCTTGGCCATGGATTGATATCCAATGTATGGAGTTTTTTCCTTGCTGGATCCCAGTTCACGGACAACATTCATGTATACAGTATACTCCAACACACACAGGTACCTGTAACCTCCCCTTTCAAACGGACACAGAGGTTTGCTCCGTAGCGGCTGATTACTTAGCTAATTTGTTGTTCAAGAGAACATTTTCCATTTTTCTGATCAAATCTCCAGCTCCGCTCACCTGAAAAAATCCTGCAGCCCACACGAGACTCACTAGACTCTTGCTTGCAAGTCCAGAATAATTAGCCTAAACCCTAAACGTCCGGAATCCCCTGGCCTGGAGCCTCATCAGCGCCGCTATCTGTGGGTTGTCCGCACGGCGGGACTGAATGAACCAAGGTAGTAATTGTCAACCTAATAGAAAATACTAGTAGCACTCATATAACAGGAATAGTAATGATAGTACGAATAGTAAAAATAATGATAGTAACAACGGTAAGAATAAAAGCAGTAATAAGCATGATAGTAACTTCTAATTTTAGGTTCAGGCAAGGGGGAGCTCGGTGTTTTTCTTAGTGTTGTTTGGGCTTCTCTCTGCTACTCTTTTGCTGTACTTCTACTTCTTGCTGTTTCATATCAGAAGGGTGCTAGAATGCCGGGTTCTGAGTCCACATGTCGGAACCAGTGTGGAGATCGGCATACTGTTGACTGACAAATCCTGCATGACCCTGTATACCCAACCCTATAGAGACATAGTAGTATGATGGATATGCGATACACAGGGTCATGCAGTACCTTTGTGCATCAATCGTACCCTCATGGAATACCAGTTCCCTTCCAGATCAAGCAGTGAGCCAGCTTGCCCTCGTAACTCTATCACAGCAACCGCCATGAAGTTATTTCACAGTGATGGCAGCCTCTTGTCTGAACTAGCCTGAGCAATAAGATTCCAGTGCACTACGCATAGTAGTACATGTGACATGGCCGTCTTTATAGGGTGAGAAGTACTGGGTTAAGGTATACCAAGAGCTTATGCGTAGCAATCCACATTTGAACAACAATGCCCCGGGCTGCTCTCAGCGCAAATTACATGGTCATAATAAGCCATAGACGATAGATACAGCAACATGTGTATTGTATGCATGAGCAAGCAGACTCGGGCATCCACAGGAAATGAAACGATCGCAACGCTAATCGATGAGATGGATGATCCACGCATCGGTTAGTGATTAAGCTGGATACGCTTCCAAAGGCTAACCAACACACTAGGCATGTTACCAATGCAGTTCATACGCCTCAGTCTAAACTCCAAGCCCTCAGTTTATCAGACACCTCTTTGGAAAGTTCGCTAGCGGATGGGTACTGGCACGTCATCCACATCTCCCGGTTCGTACACAATATTTTGCCCCTGCTCTGATAGCACCCAGTTTGACTTAGTGCTGGACTCCGGACCCATCACCACCGCCAGGCACTGAGACCTTCGCAACACTTGCACCCCACATCCACGAAGCAAACTACAAAGACGATCCTACGGCTTCCTTTGCCCCCTGCCCAAGAGAACACCATACCGCAGAGGACTTGGACTGCAAGGTGAACCTCTTGAGGCTCTTCCCTTGAAGTTCCAAAATCCCTCCAAGTAAGCTATGCAAGGCTGAGGCTTGCATGGAAATTAGCAGAGGCGCCAGGCTGAACTTGCAGGAGCCACTAAATGTATGAGTAAGGGCATGAATGCAATGGCTCTTGCCATGGGCAGTGCAATTGTTGGTGGAGCCTTTGCGGCTAGATTTGTCCTGCATGTGATTCTATACTCGCAACTGTGGGAACCACCGGGTGTACTCAACCCAACCAACATAGAACCCTTTAACAGGACTCTGGTCTGTGGAGTTCTATTTTAGCTTGGGCAAGCTTAACGACAGCCGCTTCGACCATGGCCATCGAAGTTGGGGTTTGGCGCAAGCATCGAGGCATCAACAGTGCAAGATCGCGAAGTGAATTCTCAAATGCCGTGTAATGGTAATGGTCGTACAGGCTGATGACCTTTCTGGCCTTAAATGGATACTTCTCAAAACTGGGGCCGATCTACAGAGACCCGAGAAACTGGGATATCTATCTATATATATATATGAAATATACGCGTACACACGGGTGTACATATGCATAAGTATATATGTATATATGCTTATATTTCTCTATTCATTTTTAGATTCACATATTTATCTGTCCTTCTTCAACACCTCGAACACCGTCTAAACAGTCTGTTACAAGGCCATTGCGTTGAGAACAGCCATGCGGCATCTGTTGCCATGGACTCGGTCCGCATGCCACCCTGGGCTGGGATCTCCGTTTAAACTAAAGCTTAGGGCTCACGGTTGATGTGTTGACCCCTAATTTTTGCACGCGTTCCATACTGGCTGGTCTTAACGAAGCATGGCGGCTGCAGCGCCAGAGAACCGGATGAATCAACTCTTGCACAAGCTTGCTGAGGTGTCGGCCGCCATGCTGGGAGCTGAAGCCATTGCCAAAGCCTACAGTATGAGCAGTCATCTGCTGAAGTCTGATAAGAGTCTTGGTGGAAGAGCCGAACAAGCTGAATTTCTTGGTCGGAATTCCCAGAATCCCGAAGAGCGTGCGATTCAAGTTCATAACAGAGCTATCTTCAAAGGTTAGCCACGAGCAGTGTGAGTTGTCTCTGCTGGACGGAAGTGAAACTTCAATACCATTCAATACCTAAGAAGTTGTGCAAGCTGATTGAAAAGCTACAGGCACGCCCCACAAGCAATTCCCATGCAGCCTGCGCAATGGCGTCGTCGACATCGTCTACCTTCTCGGGCTTTCTGCCTTCGCAACTCAATCTGAATGTTCTTGAAGAAACACCGCAGGCATCAACAGACTTGACCTCAACACACACTAGTTTCCGTTTTTCCACTATCCTTATATGACCCCAATATACTATGGTAGTTTCCATTTTCTTTTCGATTATCGAGCTTAAGGAGGTGAAGCTATTCTCCTACTGAACAGCTGCAAGTTCCTCAAAAAGCAAGACCGCATGTCCCCACTAAACTTCGTGGCTTAAAGAAAAGCCCCATCCATTCTACCTCTAGTCCCATGATCACTGCATGAGCTCCTTTCGCTCCACGTCAGTCTCTAACAAGAAACCCTTTTTGAGAACCTGAACCCCACAAGTATGTAAAATAATGGCCTTGAGTGCTATTTTTAGGTATCTTGGGCTATCATCTCACCTACTTCTGGGGCCCAGGAAATCCCCATCCTAAACCCTAAACCCTAAACCCGCTTGCCAGCGCCTGCATGGATCTTGGCCAGCTGCTCCTTCCAGACTTCGATGCAACAGAAGCTGGAAGCAGGAAGACATACCTACGTCTGGATCACTCTCAAAATCATGACAGCATTTTGGGTTATGTATATACCAACATATGGATCATTCTCAAAATTATGACACCATTTTGGGTTATGGATTGTATTACGGCACCTAATATTTAGGGGGATGGTAATTTTGGGAACTACCATTATACAAATGAACCCAGAAGGCTTAAGCCCTATAAGACCAAAACAACATGATTGTTGAGCTCCTTGAGATCAGCAACCTGGCGCTGTAGATCCGCAATCTTTGCCTTCCTCAGACACCACATGTGTGAGGCGGCTTGGTCCAGGGGTAAAGGATTCAAGGCTTAGGATCCTGAGCTTAGCTTGAAGACATGTCTAGTAAGGCCTTCTGAAGTTCCGTAGATCTCTCCAGCTACCTTCTCCTTGAGGACCCCTGGTTTGCAGAACATGGCGACCAGAGGTTTCGTCTTTCCATGCTTTGCAGGTGCTAAGAAACTGATTCAGAATGGGCGCATGGCCAAAAGTACTTAAAGCCGAAGCAGCCGGGAGCCTTACAACATATATGTCTAGCAACCGAAGCCGCCTCGGCCTGCTCGAGACGATCAGGGGAGCTGACATGATGAAAAGTCTTCATGATGACCACCGCGAAGGGAAGCAAAGATCCATATACTTGCCGAAGTGTACAGAATTTGCCGCTCGAATCTTCCTTGACTGAAATATAGCCGAGCGGCTGCGTGCCGGATGCCGTCACGTACTTCACCTCCGCCATAGAACCCTACTAATCACTAGAGTGAGACAGACCAAACAACCTTCGCACTTTGCAGCCCTCGACTTCTTCATCATCTTCATAGTTCATTGTGAAAGAGTGTAGGGCGGCTTCGTGGGAATGCTGGAAGCTGAAACCATACACGATAAGAACATTCTGAAGCCTTCACCGTTATACCTGGACCCCAAAAGTATGTAAAATAATGGTCTTAATGGCCATTATTCTGGGATTAGGGCTGTTATTTTACATACTTTTGGGGTTTAGGTATGGCTAAATCCTCAAAGGACAGGCGTGGGTCAATTACCCCGAAGCTGTGGAATCCCTGAAGCTGCTAAACTCTCAGGCTGAGCTATGTAAAGGGATAATGGAAAACAAAATGGAAACTACTGTAATGGGTTCTATAGGGTATCATATGGGGAAACTACTGTAATGGGTTCTATAGGGTATTATATGGGGAAACTACTGTAATGGGTTCTATAGGGTATTATATGGGGTTAATATAAGCGACTCTTCATCCTGATCCAGGGTGATGGGAAGTTCTGGAAAGAATCAGAAGCATCAGCCTCAATGGGGACGCTTTTCGCGATTTCTTGCATGATCTTGTACGAGGATACCCTCTTTGCATTTAGCCTCCCATGCCCAGATCCGAAATGTCCATACGGTTTTTGCTAGACTGAGGCACCGCAAAGGATATCCTTACTCATCCCAAAACCTATATACCCCTTAAGTAGATAGAATATTGCTTTGGGTATGTTGTAATAAAATCCCCATATACCCCATATTCTATCTACTTAAGGGGGACTATAGGGGCATGCTAAGCGCCGAACCTGCGGTTGCCTTGCTACGTTCCTCGGTTAGGCCCAAGGTGCTTTGGGATTCTGGTTTAGGGTTTAGGGTTTAGGGTGCAAGACGGGAATGCATAGAGCATGCACATATTGTGAATGGAGTTTGGGGCTGGGAGGCTGGGATGCTGGGGCAGGTGCCGAATTGGAGGATACCAGGTGTATAACATTGGATGTTGGGGCTATAGACTAGATCGCAGTTGTATATTCATGGCCCCTCGAAGAATGGAAACCCCGACATACCGCTATCAATAAAAACGAAAGCTATGTACACTCGTCCAAAATGTGATACTGTGAGAAGTGTACGCTTGAGACGAAGGCGCTTGCAGCGATCGGCGAAGGACAGCGTGTTGAGGGACTCCTCGTAAACATTGTTGGAGGGCAGCTGCGGCGGAACAAACTTAAAGGTTGCACCGATTACAACTTAGTCCTGTTGAAGCAGGTTCTGGCTGCACCTTCTTGCTTCGGAGTGCAATGGGGTCGTGACGACTTTGGGCAAGAGCCGCAAAGCTGGATCCCCAAAACTTGAGGGTTCGCTTCAAACCTGAAACCAATGTGAATCTCAAGGTCCTATTCCAAGCCTCAAGTCGGACTTAAGCTCAAGTAGGGTTTACATAGACTTCAGGACGGTCTAGGGTTATGAGGCCTGGAACAATGCAAGACCATGTCAAGCCGTTGAGCGGCACCACCTAAGTAGCCAATTGACTCGACTACCTCCAAAGGTGAAAGACCAAGCTGCTCGTCAGAATAGGAATCACAAATGGGCGGCTGTGCTGAATTGCTTTTGAGAAGCCCCATGAAATGTCGTGTGCAACGCGGAGGCGCGCGCTAAAACTCTGGTTTCGGATCATGTTGTTTCGCAACGCAAGATGAAACACGTATAAGACCTTTCGCTGCGCTGTCGTCGTTCGCGTGACACCAAGATAACAACACTGGAAGCCTGTGTTGCTGTTGCGAACTGGTTATATACAAAACAAAGAACGGGCTTCAGCAAACCCTCATATATAGCCTCCCCAAAAAAACAAGCTCCACGACAAAAACCGCCAGCTGAAAGGAACGGCTTACTCAAACAAACGCAGGGTCTCCTCATAGTCCTCCACACGGGGGTGGATCGTGGCCAGCACGGACACCTGGCCCACCCAAAAAGATTACAGGAGTTGTAGGGGCATGTGAACTAGGAAAGGTTTAGTTAGCATGTTGGGAACTTGAAGATAAATGTTTTTGAAATGTGGAGATACCTTTCTGAAGGCCTTCATGCGTGGTTTCCCTCTACTAGGGGCCTAACCCAGAGAAAATGCCATGCCATTGCGTGCAATAGAAACCTCGCCTGCAAACTACACTGCTCATGTTGCACACAATGACCATGTGGTTTGACGCACTCTTAGCGGTGGGGGCCAATCCCAACCACCCGGAATCCTCGCGTTCCTTGCGTGCCAAGCCACCACACGACACATGGCCAAACATCGCCTTATCTGCTCCCATGTGACCATATTATCTTCCATTCCTGCCTGCGTGCGGAGGGATGTCGACAATATCCGAGTGAGCTTGGAGTCCCGGTATGGAACGTGCCTCCTGGGCTGGAGGCAAAAGCCCAAGGATCTTATCTGTTTGTCACAAGTCACCGGAGCCTCCTCTTTTTTATTGCGGCCCTTCCTTTCACATCAAGGACCTCTTCGTTTATCTGTCTGTACTGCTGGGCTCTTGATAGGAACTAATTGGCCAAAAAAACTGATTCACAAATGCAGGTAATGTTAGATTTGTTCTAGGAATCTCGAGAAGTTTTTTGTGCCTACAAAGACGTCAATAAACACTCCCGACCTGAAAGCGGCCATATCATTGCCCAAGTAAAGTTTCAACACCCGCTCCTGCAACCAAGAGCTCCGCATCATACCATGAGAGAATTTGGGAGGAAGAGGACGGAGATGCTGATATGAAAAATGTAAGCCCCTCACACAACAGTTGTCTTCTGGAAGCCTTTTTGTATGGGATGCCACACATGAAGCCAATTAGGTCGCACGTGTTGAAGAATCTTGGCTGGATAGGTACTTAGCTCACTCAGAGGTCGCTCTTATCAAGCCAGTCCCACTTCGTCTCGCTGGTACACCTGAGAACTATGGCTATTTCTGCGACTATGATCACGGTCGCCACGAGTGCTAAAACAATACCGACCAGCACCAGCACCAGCACCATAACGACCGCCCCGCCACCACCACCGCCACCACCACCGCCACCACCGCGACTGCCACCGCGACTGCCACCGCTACTGCCTGCTGCCACTCGAGCCAGGCTACACAGCTTTTGGGTCGGATGCCAGAGCCAGCACCACCTGAGCAGATCCCCTCGCAGTAGTACTGTATGCTCTAGGTTTCAGACTGTTGGGGCTGCAGTTGGCGGAAGCTTCGACGCTGAATGGTTGAGAGTGCACGGGCTTGCACGTGGATTTAAGAGACACCTACTGGGTTCTTTGAACCAAATGTGTGATGTTCAGCGGGCTCAAGTAATAACCGAATGATCTTACGGATTAAGATGATGAGCTGGGTTCGCATGCTCTATCTTCGTGGATACCACTCTCGGAAACTTAATGATGCCTTTCGGATGCTTACTGGCATCTGAAGAAGAAACCCATGTCCCAAAAAACAAGTATTAAGTTTAACGGGACTCTGATGATGATTAAGACTTGCGGCAGCGCCACCCAAGGAAACTAAACCCTGAATCCCAAATTTGAAATGCAAAGCCCCCCAACGGAATCTACAGGTATTCCTGAAGACCCCGAAGCCCACCTTCCCCAGAGCAGTGAGGGAAGTATTGATGGCCATCGCTTCCTGGACAGTCTGCTGCAATTAGGGATTTTGGATGCAACTATTTCGATGGTGAAGAGGATCTCATAATAGTATGTGGTAGTTTCCCTAAATTACTGTTCCCAAAATGGGGGAAATGTATATAGGGACCCGTATTATAATGGGAACCCAAATATAGGACCCCGTATTATGGGGAATTTAGACCTATCCCCATGTAGCACTTCCGCCATGACAGCCATGGAATGGGACCACCTACCTGGCTCTCCTGCACAGACCCTGAAGTCTCTGCGTGACAAATTTGGTTCCAAGGGCGGCGCAACAAACCCTGCATTTCCACTAACTTCCCCCGCAGGATCATAGGGAATCCACAAAAGGTGTACTAGGCCCCAGTCTTGAAGAATTGTTCTCTCCTGGAAGCCCCACAAAACTTCACTGTGCATCCTTCAGAACTGGATAAACCGCGGACAGGAGCTTTGTCTTGCAGTTTGTTAAGTTGGCTATCCACTCTGGCTTGGTCAGCCTTGCCAGCTTGCTTCCGGCACCGCTATACTAGGGACACTTCAGGACATGCCCGTCTACAGCACAAATGCAGAGATGCAACCTGCCACAAAGCTACAAACAGTATTCAACTCGGGTTTCCAGTTCATACTTCATGGTCTTTTCCACAATGCTATTTGGTTCTCCATCATTGGGAAACATGTCCCTGTATAACCCCTACAGTGTATAGTGGCCGCCCTCAAATCCCGTGAGCAAGTGCCAGTGCTGCTCTCAAAAGGCTGCTCTCAAAAAGCTTCAGAAGCTTCCGTGGTATGAAGCCCCTTAAGGCTAACTTCCTAAGCCCTCATGTGTTTGTAAACCCCTAAACCCTCAAACTTAAACCTTAAACCCTTATAGACCCGAGCGGCAGAGGGTCAGGGTTTATGGGTCCAATCTCTAGCAAAAAGCCCACGTAGCGCAAGACATGTCTGATCACGCAGGGCTAGCCAAAAGTGACATCCCTTTCTTGCATAACCCGAGTCCGAACTGAAACCTACCTGGGTTTGTACTTCTTTGAAGCATATATCAAGAACAACTATGGAGTAGCTTTTCTTGGATTTCTGGCGCAGCAGACTCGCTACAATCTCTGTAGTGGCTCATGTGAGCTATTGTCTAAACTCCTAGGTTCCCCTCAATAATCCCCACAATTCTCCGCCATATAACCCCTTTTAAAAAGTTTAGGCCCTAAACCCCAAAGCTTAATTCCAGAGCACTACGCCCGATATACCCACCCCCTATTAAGGAGTCTAGACTTAAACTATGGTTGTGTTGGTTGCGCCTGAAACTGCTGGCCTTCCGCTTTGGACTTGGCGAGGCGCTCGGAGCCTTACATCAGGACATGTCAAGATGTGCAGCTGTTAAGGGAAGACTGGGAATCGAGTGTGAGAATGCAGTGAATGGCTGGGCCTTCGCAGATTCTTAGATGAGGATTTAGACTGTACAGAAGGCTGCAAGTTAAGCCTGTGAAGAAACGCCCTCCCCTAAAACAGCAGTGGAGAGGCCAGATACAGCTTTGACACCGAGGGTGGCAATATTGGACAGGCGTACTACCTCTCTACTCAGTGGACGGATCATAGTATACTCCATGCAGTTCTCGGCTTGCGTCATCTTGTCGACGCCCGGTCTCACTCTCAAAGTTCATAGGAGGCTATAGGTGGGGTCATGTTGAGTCATATGTGCCCAAGAAAGGTCATAGTTACAAGTACCCTACCTCTAACCCGCTTCCGACTACACACAACCACCTGGCTACAACCCGCGTCGAAGTATGCATCTCCTGACATACAGAACAGACAGCATGATTGCTGCAGCCTAGCATCATCTCTGCATGCCAATATTGCTCTTGTTCCATGAAAAGGCCTCGGAAATCCCCCTGACCATGTCCCAATGGTGATCCTGAGGCCTATCACCTACAAGCCTAGAAGTCCACGCGCGCCTGCGAGGTCCACGAAGCTCAGCTGTGTTGGCACGCCTGTTTTTTGGAGTTCAGGGCTGGGGGCCAAGGCTCAGCTTTGTGTGCTGATGCTTTCAGGGTGGTTATATAGGGGTTACATTGGGGATATATTATTGGGATAATGGAAAAGAAAATGGAAGCTACTACAATGGGCTAAAGAAATGGCGGAGGCTTTGACTTCTCAGATGCAGAAGTATAATCCTGGGGGTCTTTTCACTACAGCGACAGCACTACTGAAGCACACATTTGACTAAGAAAATGAGTCTCGGGCCAAAAGCGCAAGACTGCAATAAGAAAGAGTAAGAAAACCAGGCTACCCTGGCCTGGGGGCCGAGATAGAAAGTTGGTCCAAACCGTCAATCTCAACCTCAAGCCAAACATAACGGCTCTGAATAAGAAAGCCAAACTCTGGGATTTTGATATTTTGATGGCTCTTGGGACACGCAAGCCTGCCAGGGCCTCCTGGAACCGCCCATGGCTTTGAAGAAGAAAGCCAGGCTGGCAAGCTCTGAATAAGGAAACCATGCTTTTGCTTTGATTGTTCTTGGGACACGCAAGCCTCCCAGGGCCTTCAGGGCCTCCCATCCCAGATTCTGATTTTAAAATTCAAAACCGTAGCTTCTGGGAGGCCTGGGACGTTTTGGGAGACCCTGAGAAGTCGTGGGAGAGACCCCGGAAACCTGGGAGGCTTGCATCCCCCAAAAAGGATCAAATTAGTAAACTCCCAGAGTCTGGTTTCCTTATTTGAGGCGTTGCCGAAACAAGATCCTTCCTTTGCGGCAGTAGCGGAACTTGCCCAAAGCAAGCTGGAAGGGAGGAAAAGCAGACACTTCTTTTGGCGGCATGGCTTTGTCCCTGGCAAGCGGGATTCAAAATCACAAAGCTCACTTAAGTAAACCAGAATACCCTGACTTGACGAATCCCTGAAATCCGCGCGCGTAAAGCAGCTCAAAGAATAAGAAAACCAGACTCTTGGAGGGTCAGGGGGACTTAGTAAGTAGGTTCATAATAGTGGGGAGAATGAAGGTTACTGTACTATGGGATACAGGGGTTATCAACCTACTTACTACGTCCCCCTGACCCTCCAAGTACCCTGGCCTTGGCAACGCTTTTCTTAGCCATCATTATAGCACTGTACTGCAAAGGTCCTCGCGGAAAGCCTAAATGGAAGAACAGCAAACCCGTACCACCGAGTTCAAGAATCTCTTGACGAAGGACACCTGACTCCTCCAGAGCTGCTTCCCTGGAACTCCTGTTCCCCTAGGACAAATAATACCAATCATGGAGCATCAGATGGAAAAGAACATGGACAATGACATGAAAACTACTATTTAGGGCTTAGGGTTAGTGATATTTCCTGCAATAATGGAGAATCAAATGGAAAAGCAGATGGAAAATGAAATGGAATCTGGGATTATATCAGGATCCCAGTATACAAATAATGCGTACATTGGGCTGTTTGGGTCCCTAGGGTTGGCTGACAGCGTGATACCTGAATTCAGTGGATGGGAACTTGGTAACTGGGGCTCCAAGTATGCCTTCCGGTGTCAGCGTAGGCAGCTGCACGTTGAAGACCTCATTCGCTGCCACGCTTGCCGCTTGTGGTTACCATATTTCGTGAAGTCCGAAAAGCGTAGAATGGAACATGAACAACGAATCCAGAAAAAAACTTCGAAGTCGACCTGAACAACTGCATAAAAAGGATGCAACCACAAGAAAAGCAAGTCCCAAATTAGAGCCAAGAGGACAGTGTGTGAGCGCGAAGAACGGACGTTTGCATCCTGTCAAGATGCCAAAGCAAACTGCAACTAGAATTCAGCTTGTGCCAGGCTGTATGGAACAGGCTGCATCAGCTGATGGTGAAAGGTTTGAGCTGTTAGGTTCAATGAAGGTAAAAGGCGCGGGCAGAGCGTCTAGAGACCAATTTCTTAAGGTCATGACAAGGAATGAATGGCACCATCTGCCCGTCACGAGTGAGAAACAGGGTGTGCCAAGCAGCACAGACCTAGAATCGCACAAGCCAACACATCCGTGGGGAGGGAGTTTCAACGGTTACTATGCTTCTTCCCCGAAACGCTTGGTGCTAAGTACATTATTTACACACGCCACCCAGAAAGGAGCCACAACCAGAAAGACGAAATCAAAGGACAAGCGTCCGTCAGGGCAGTGGCCCGCCGCGCCAGTCCAGCTCGCACAATGCGGGAAACGTCAGACAGATCCCGAACCTCAGCTCTGGCTTTCAGGGACTGAGAAAAAGTAGCAACGGCAAAGGATCAGAGGGAGGAGAGCAGCACTTCTTCAGTCAATTTCACAGTCCAACGTAGAGGGACCAGAAAACATGTTGCTTTGCTAGTGCTCCCGCTTGCCATGAAGATCGCGATGATGGTTGTAATGACTAGCACTATCTTTGCTGATTGAACCAAAACCTGTTATAGTTGCTATCGCTGACAATTTGATACTAGACATCAAACAAGCTGGCTAGGAAATCTAATGCGAGCAAGTCTGAGCCAATGGCCTTCAGCTGCGCAAGTCCCTGTCGGCGGGCTGGGGAGACTAACAGGCCTCTAGCCAATTTGTAAGCACGGAAGGGCTTGAGGTGTAAGCCGTCAATCACGTTTGAGATGCGTTTGAAATGGTTATTGCTTACATCCTAGAGCTACTTTGGAACATAGCTTCTGTCCGTCAGAACTTATGTAAATGCCAGACCAAAAATGCTGCAGCCACAAAAAGCTGCCCCTGCACTGCGCGCCTCGGAACCCTAACTAAATCCCAAACCCTCAAATCTTTCCTGCTCAAGCTTGCCCAGAGGCCAAGACAAACACCAGGTGACTAGATGCAAGGAAACAACACTAGAAGTCCCACACTCTGGCGATCTTAAAGTACCTCCTAGATGGCGAAAAGCCTTAAACCCTGTATCACACAGTAAGTCATCAACAGCCCATTGCCCGCCTGCACATGGATGGAGCCATCGGGTCCTTCTCGCAGTGCAAGGCTCTGGCTCCCGTGATCTGCATCAGCGAAGGTGCCTGCATGTTTGGGCGGGCCAACAGTCTCTCTCCTCAGAAATTGTGGGAAGGCTGGTATCAAGCACAACAAGAGTCGATGGTGTAGTCTTGCTGCCTTTCTGCAATGCTGCAACGTAGCCATAAGCATTGACGCCATTCGTGTCTGAATGCTATCCCGTGTCAAGCGCCACGTCCTACCAGCAGCCTACAATCATTCAACGCATAGATGCGATATCGATGCTGGCTGTACTGACTATACCTGGAACTGTCTCATCACGGGGCAACGCCATGCAGGACAGGCTCTACATTTTATAGCCAACCAATGAAAAGGCGCACCTAATCCCTGAAAAAATGCGACTGATTCTTGCGCACAGCTAACGGGACAGTGGAACCTGCCAAATACTTGGATCTTTCTCAAAAGGCGCATGAGAGTGCCAGGAGGACAAGATTGTCATACACCTTTTTCACAGTTGAAGCGCATGCGTATATATTATACATATAAAATCTGATTTGTGCGTAAAATGAAATCTATACATGGATATCTGTCTTGCGGCAGCTGAAGCCTACGCGCCCTGCACTACACCAAGATTACATCTGTAAGCCCACGTCGCAGTCCCAAAATCCTCGACGTCCTAGACCTGATCTGAAGCTCTAAACCCTCAACCTTAAGTGCTTAACCACAAGCTCCTCCCCTCCCTAAGTCAAAACCACTAACGTTCAATAACAGGTTTGGGGTTACATATTGGGTCCTGCCCCCAACCAGTAACAGCCTATAATAGGGGGAATATTGAAGGCTATCTATAGCTATAATGTAAGTATTATCCAATTGTTGCTTGGTGGGGGCAGGACCCAAGTTATATGAGCTATAGTCTAAACTCCTAGAATCCCCCTTAATAGCCCCTATAATAGTCCCCTATGCAATCCCCTATATAAACCCCTTTGAGGAGTTTAGATTATGGCTCACATGAATAATGTTTTTTTGGTGGCTAAACCCAGTAAGATCATATTCCTTATACAAAATACTATACCCCAAAAGGAGGATACAATCTTACTCTATATTGGGCCATAGTACTATTCTCGGACATCAGTCGGTCATGCTGGTTTCGCGCTGGGCCCTTTGGCCCCTCAAATACAATAATCTAGAATATTCTAAAATCGGCTGATAATGTTTGCAAGATCCCTAAGGATCGACTGACATGCTTGAAGTTTGTTGTGCAGCGTGTCGCTGGGCAAAAGTTGTGCGGAATTGCAAGGCTCTGAATAAAGTTAAGTTGATTGCAACGAAAACTACAGATCGGTATATCATCCGACCAGACGGCTTCAGGCAAGTGCGGCAGGCCTTCAACCGAGCTGGCGGAGATATGCTTGGCGATCACCGTTTCAAGGGAGGAAAAGAATTTGTGCAGGCAGGCAAACTGACACCTAGCCGACTTGTCCCCAAATAAAATACTACTCATATAAGGGTTCACCATAAGCCAAAGGGGCCTTGAGTAGCGAAGCGCTTCAGCTTCGGCCTCCGACGCACCGCGGTGGGCTCTCCTGCAAAGAGGATTTGGGAGGTTTTTAGGGTTTATAATCCCCCTTAAGTGGATAGAATATGGTAGGGTTTATAATCCCCCTTAAGTAAATAGAATATAGGGGTTATACTGGGATAATGCAAAAGAAAATAGAAACTACTGTTTAAGGTTTACAGTCCTCCTTAAGTAGATAGAATATAGGTGTTGTATTGGGATACTGGAAAAGAAAATGGAAACTACTATCTAGGGTTAAGGGTATTTATAGTCCCCCTTAAGTTTAGGGCTTAGGCCTTAGGGTTGCGGCTGTACGACGTGGGGTCTCGGCTGCGCCTGGGGCTCTCATAGCACGGCCACTGGTTGAATTCTATAGGTACATGAAGATTTCTAGGTATCTTTCGAGGTGCCTGCGGTAAACTGTAGATAGGAGAGGGCATACTCCAAACCCGCCAAGGCACACCCCTTCCCCCAAAACAAAACGCAATGACACCAAAACAATGCCTGACGCGACAAACCTCCTAAGCTTGAGGCCAAAACTCTCCGAATCGAATCACAGGCATCAGGACTTCTGGGTACTCGCTAGGGCACGAGGCTTGGATAATGGAGATGATCAAGAGCCATTCACAGCTCGAAATTAGCTCCGTGGGCTTGATGGCACAATACCACAAGCAGAGGCACAAGTGCCAAGAGAAAATGGAAGACATGATGACGACATCTCAAAACTAAGGCCTAAGCCATAGAATCACGCACAACCCATAGTGCCTGCATCATCTCTAGCAAGGCCGCCGCTCCTTGTTTTTGTGCAGACACACAAAGCTTCAGGCCCAAGAGGCTGTGCAAAACGCCAAAGCTCCAAGATTGTGTGGTTGAGGATGCAGCGTGGGATAGGAACTTACTTCCACAACTTGGGCATTCGATAATTTATGCATTGCAGATCATGGTCATAACAGCAACGTTGCAGCGAGACGTTTTTCAAGGTTGAATCAAGAATGCGTCCCCCACTGCAAGTAATAAACCAGTGCCTGAAGGTATGGATGCACATGCGCCACAAAAATGGAGAGTGTTGCATTTAGACCGACCTTGTGCCGGGCCTTGCCCTGAGGATTCATTTGATCGAATACTCAAGGTTCTAAGATCTAAGCATTACTAACTAAACCCTAGAGAAGGACTGCCAAAGAAGAACCACGATGTATAGAAGGATGTCCCCAGCAGTACCCCGCACAGAACACCGGACCCCCAAACCAAAAATCATCTTGCATTTGGTAATTTTCAAAGTGAGAGTGATCCTGGGGATCCCGAAGACGGCACAGGTATGGGTCATGACATATGCTAATTTCCCAAAACAGGGGGAGCCC